AGCACGCACGGAGATGAAAAAGGTATGTATGGACTTATCTAACTCTGGGGGGTAAGGTGAATAGGCTAAAGTCCCAAAAAGTCGGAGTGTTCCTTTAAGCTGGACAGATCGTTTCGTTTTTTAACGGTTTTATCTCAAATATCTTCTTTTTATAATCTTTGGAAGCCGAAATACAAAATATATTAGAATGATACCCCAGATCTAAAGTGTAACCACGTTGGATGTTTAGTTCTGTCCTCATTGTCACTCATTAAGCAAGGGCTGTCGTGTTGCGCGTGCTGTGGCTTTGCGTGAGAGGCTTTTGCGCTCTCTCTCTCTTCTCTCTTCTCTCTCTCTTCTGAACTGCGAATTGCAAATTTGCATCACAGACATATGGTTTAATTAAAATATAGTTTATATATAGAAATGGCTGGTGATATAAACATGTTCGAGATAACGTCTTTATAGGAATAATAAATAGTAGCCCAACTTGCGTGTATTTACTTAATTTCTCCAGTACCGACAGCAGAACCGGTAACGTCCGAGCTTATCGATACAGCGGTCTTTTCAAAATTCAGTACCGGGGCCCGTTTAATACCGGGTTTCGGTACCCATCCCTACTTCAGCGGCTGGCTCAGATTTCGGGAGTAAATAGAGAGAGCTATGTGAATTAATACAGAAAAGGAAGAAACAAAGATGTGCATTTGATGTGCTTTGCTTTTCTATGTTTAAGTTAATTTATTGAGGCACTGCAGACTTTATCGTAACATTTCACATTGTTATTTTTTAATGCTATCATATTCTGTGCAGGCAATTAGCTTCAGCGCCCCCAACTCGTAAAGATCGCAACTTAAAGAAAATCCAGAGCTCCCCACTCGTTATGACGTTGTGGTGGCATTCATGTGTGTTCAACTCATAAATACGATCTATACAAGAAATGTTAAAACGGCAGTGTCTGTCAACATTCTTGGGCGGGGCCTGGTTGTTGGGAGACACTACTTATGATTTATGGGGATTAAAAAATTGGAGTGTTTTTTTTTATCACTATAGGGTGGTTGTGTGCACACATTGCCGACACAGGTCCAAACACCATGCAAAAGTGAATTTCGCATAATAGGTCCCTTCTACCAGATCAAAATGAATTTCTTTCACAAACCTATGTGTACAAGCAAAACAAATAATCATAACTGTGCTGAAGGAGGGGAAAAAAGCAAGATTATGAGTGCTTTTATACAGTAGGGACAGTCATGTGGTTCATTCCCGAATTTGAATGAATCAGTTGAATGACTCACCCCGTCACTTGACGCTACCTACTGGTAATTATTTCTGGTTCTTTCTGAATCTACTATCTCATAAAGCCAGGAACACACCAAGCCGGCAGTGATAAAAGTTAACATTCTTTTTATCTCATCACATTCAGTTAGGATACCAAACTCGGGTTAAATACGACTTGCCAAGGGATCATGTATTTAACTGTGGGGCTTCTTGTGTAGCCGCTGAAAAGTGGTGCAGGAAACTATTGTGTGATTTTAAAAATCGATATCGAGATAGTTAAATGAGGATGACAATTAGTTATGTCAATGCATCCCAAGACGTCATCTAACTGACGCTTTTGCCCATATGTCAACATCCGACGTTTTAGGGTGCCCTTTAACGTCAGTTAGATGATGCTATCTAACCCTAACCCTACCCCAGACCTAAACCTACCCACGTCATCTAACTGACGCTAAAGGTATAGGATCGTTAAAGGGTACCCTAAAACGTCGGATGTTGACGTATGGTCAAAAGCGTCAGTTAGATGTTGTTTTGGGATGAGAATGTGTTGGTCAATGCATGTTTGTTTCCTCGGCCATGACAGCTGTGTGAATTTGAGAATATTTAGTGTAATGCAATTCCTTCATATTCATATTTTCGGTTAAAGCCTCTGTAATGGGATATTATTTCCACTTTCATAGAGCCATTGTATATTGTAGATTTCTATTTATGTTTCTTCCCTTATTATCATGTTATCCTGGAAAAACTAGAATCCTCCGCTCTCGCATCACACTTGAGATGGAAAGCCGGGTGCTTCCCGACAGATTAGGCAGGGATCGTTTACGGTGCTTATTGTCATCCTCGCAGAGAAACGCGAGATAATACAGTCTCAGTTTCAACCTAAAATCCTCCATTCATCTGCATGAGTGCGCAGCGACGAGCCGACAAACCCTGGGCCGAGATGCGCTGATGGCAGATTTAGATGTGATGACACTCTTTTCTCCCTTAAATCAAACTGTTATCGCCCACTATTTATGTCACTGTTATCTCACACACTGTTTATGACAACTTTGACATTTCGCTCAGTTTTTAAAGCTCTTGTCAAATTTGCCAAACTGCAGGGCAGAGTGAGATAGAGTGAGTTAAGGTAAGGTTGTCAGAGAGAGAGACAAAGCGCATGAGGGAAAAACAGGGGAAAAGAAGAAAAAGAGACGGGGAGATAGTGAAGCAGCCTGGGGGGGGGGTTGTTGTAACGTATCTGCAGTGTAGCATGTCAGTGCGGCTTTACTTTACTGCATCCTCGTCTCGACGTCAATAATTAATCACAGGTGAGGCGTGGTGAGAAACATGCCCACGGATGCCAAAGGAGCTTCAACCGGTGCCAGCAGACAGCAGGAAAGCCTCAAACACAGCGACAGCCATCCCTCCCCGCATCGAGTCTCACCTCACGGGCACGTTCCTGTGATGCAAAGCCGGCACGCTCTGAATTACATCACCTGCGAAAGCGCCGTTCGGCCTCCAACTCTACGGCGACGTTTTATTGCTAATTAGGCCATATCTTTTTATTTCTATACACCAAAAAAATCAGCCACATGTATCATGGATATAAATGCGTTATAGTTGTGATCGATTGGCTGGAGCGCAGCCCTGTGGCATGAATATGCATGGGGTGATGTATAGAGAGGGAGGGAGCGGCATTGGAGGCTCGTGGTGTGTGATCCGTGGACTTTACAGTCACCGCCGGGTAGCCTGCGGCTAGCAGCCACCATAAACAATAACGCAAGGCCCATTTATAACACTAAAACTCATGTGTCGACGCAGCCACAAAGAGCACAAGTGACATTTTAATGGGCCTTTTTACTTTTTGTTTTTCAATAATGAATGCATGGCTTGCTGTGGTGCGCTCCACAATATGCGCCTCACTATTGTTTTGAGGCGTAATGCAGATTTTTGCTGTACTTGGCATTTATAGGGAATAATTTAATACACATCACAATCTTCGCGCGCGCTTCCCTGAGAGCGCTTTCCAAGACTGGGGGAATGGAGAATTATTATTATTATTTTTTTTTTTTTTTTTAGCTGAACTGATGTGAAATGGTGTACTGTATGTGTGGTTGTGTGATGTCAGAATCATGTTTTCATTTTGTCTCTGTGAGTACTGATCAGTGTGTGTGTGTGTGTGTGTGTGTGTGTGTGTGTTACCCAAAGGAGGTTCAATGCAGCTGTTAGTTTGCTTTGCTGTGTAAGCAGGGTTGACCCCACTGTTGATCACATGCCAAGCACACTTTCCCCTCACACACTCACACACAGCCTGATGGGCACTAAACAGCTGAGAGGAGGAGTGTTTATGGACATCTTCAAATTGTCTATCAAAGAATACATTTTATTACTTTTTTGTTTTCTTTATTTCTTGCCCTCTTCCTTGTTTCATTCGTTTTCTTTCTTGCTTTCCTCCCTTTCTTTGTTTTTACTTCCTTTCGTAGGGCTGGTTCAAACAGAACGTGGTTTTTGCTGTTAAAAATGTGAGATAGGTCAGTGGAAGGCAAAAAGCACACGGCCTGGAAACGCGCAAACTTATTTGAACTTTAGCGTCAGGGTTTTAGAATGCTGTGTAATGCGCGAGACACGAGTGCAACAGTTAAGGCAGTGCAGTCTCATCCCAAGACGTCATATAACTGACGTCTTGGGACGTCTTTTGACCATACGTCAACATCCGCCTTTTTAAGGTACCCTTAAACGTCGGTTAGATGACGTTATCGGATCCTAACCCTACCCCAGACCTAAACCTACCCCGTCACCTAACCGACGTTAAAGGTAAAGCGTCAGTTGTATGACGCCCCGGGATCGTCATATAACCGACGTTTAAGGGTACACTAGAAAGGCGGATGTTGACGTATGCTCAAAAGACGTCCCAAGATGTCAGTTATATGACTTCTTGGGATGAGACTGTGTTAGTTAAGGCGTCCGTCTAGTGCGTGTTTGCTTTGAAAAAAAAAAAAACAATGGAAAATTAGCACAGAGCAGGGAAAAAACTGGTTCTGTGTGAACTGCCTTCCACTGCATTTGTTTTCCTTTATTTTCTTCCTTCATTCCTTTCTTCCCTCCTTCCTACCTACGTTTAAATTGTTTTCTTCCATTTAGCTTCCTTTGTTTTTCCTTCCTTATACTTTTTACTGCATTTGTTTTTCCTTCCTTCCTGCTTTCCATACTTCGTTCCTTCCTTCCTTCCTTCCTTCCTTCCTTCCTTCCTTCCTTCCTTCCTTCCTTCCTTCCTTCCTTCCTTCCTTCCTTCCTTCCTTCCTTCCTTCCTTCCTTCCTTCCTACCTTCGATCCCAACTACATTTACATTTTTATTACCTTTTTTTTTGCTTTCTATGTTTTTCCTTCTTCTCTCTAAAAATGCTGGGTTGTTTTAACCCAATTTTGGCTCAAATATGGACAAACCCAGCCGTTGTGTTACATTTATAAATTGCATTTTTTTTAATCCAACAGTTGGGTTTGTCCATATTTGACCCAAAATTGAGTTAAAACAACCCAGCATTTTTTGGAGTGTGTCTTTATTTTTCTTTACTAACTTTTTTCCGTACTTTCTTTCCCTTTTCCCTTCCTTCCTTTTTTCATTCTTTGTCTTTCTTTATTTTTTACCTTATTTATTTGACTCTTCTTCTCTCTTGTTCTCTAATGTCTATTATTAATAATTGTTTCTTGTCATTAAATATTGTTATTTAGCCTATTTCAAATTTCTTTTTTCTTCTCTCCTTCTGTAGAAACGAAACCAGGAAACGGGCTGTGTAAAACAGGAAGCATTGCTCTCTTTGGAAACGTAGTGTACAGTGGGCTGCTGAACGATCACTTCTGGCATTTCGGGGTGCCCCTCGTCACAAGACTGGTAAGTGGATGCCCTCTTTTTGTTTTCCAGATTGGTGGCATGGTTGGCACTGCCTCTCTGCTCCCTTTGCCACCTTAGGATCTCCCACTGGCAGTTGGGATTTGGCATCAGTTGTGTTTTGTCTGGCCAGGACTTTTACCAGAGGTGATTTTTGATCTCCTTTTTTTCTTATTTTTGGCATAAGGGGACATAGTTGTGCTGGCAGGTTCAGTAAAGTATTCATAATTACTTAGTAGTAATATTTAATTATAAAGCTTTCTGCTCTGACAGCTACACCTAACCACAGAGAACAGCAGTGGAAAGGGAATGGGGCTGATCTTACAGGCTCATGTTACTGTATATGTTCTGCTTCCTGATTTCTCTGTCTATCTTCTTTCTCAGTGATGCAAGATCTAAATGAGTACATGCATTGGCATTTGATGTGTCTGTTTAAGAACTGAATATTAGTAGGCTACTCAAGTTTTAATTAAACTGTAATCTTAGCGCATGTCAGTGCCTCTGTCTTATTATGAATTGATAAATATTGATGCCCCGTCTTCCTGCGAAATCTGTCAAACAATATTAGCATACAGGCAGGGAAGGACAGGGAGGAGGCAGAGCTAGAGCAATTTACTGCTTATACTCGATTAAGATAAAAAAGGATTTGGAGGATCAGAAGTATAAATCTCTGAGGGTAACTTGTTTTTCACTGCTTTCCCAATTGAGCGTGTAGACGTGTTCTCAGATGAAAACTTTAGCAGCAGAATTGGATGCAGTTCAACTGCTTTCTTCAGAGAGAATGTAGCATCATTTGATGATGGTTGGAATATTAAGATTGTCCCTTATAGTAACATTATTTTTTTATGATTGTTTTTTAATTTTATGGCATATCACAAATATTCTTTACCATTCATGAACTGGCATCCTGCTTAAATTTACATGACATATCTATTGACAATATGACATTTTTAAACATTTCTTAGTTTGCATCTTAATTGTTGAATGTCAAAGATTCTGTTGACAAAAATGTTTTTCTTCAATGACTGACATTTATAAGGAGCCATGTATAAAGATTAAAAGGTTGTTGTTGTTTTTTGCCGGCAACATAAATAAATGATATATTTGAGTAGATTGTATTTATTTGGCCGTAAATAATTGACTTTATTTTGATTGAATAATGGTCGGCGTAGCTGGAAGGCCCAAAGCTATTACATTAGCCCAATATTTACTTTATCCAAACTTTAATTTTCCTCTTCACTTTTGGAGATCAGAAATTCTACTAATGGCATTCGGAAATGCAATGCTTCGAATAGCCAAAGCACGTTTAGCGTTTAGGTGCGCTCGCTCGCTACCACTCAAATCACCATAAATGAGTTCTACCTCAACTCCAAACCACGTTCCTTTTTGACAAATTAAGTAAATTAGTCAATGCCTCTGTAATCAAGTGCAATGGCACCGCTTGTTTTTTGATTAGGCCATACCTCCATGCATGTCACTTCCAGTGCTGTTTAGTCATTGGTAGGTGCTTTTTATGAAAATGGACTGGCACTGCGACCCGTTCCTCAAACTCTCCTGCAGACGCTAAACTGCACCTTAACCAGATTAAGTCACTTGAACATGTTTGGAGAATCGAGCCTCCCCACCAGATGGAGAGAAATGGAGGGCGGTTGTTTTTGAATTAGTTCTCCCTCGATTTTCCTTGCCGGGTTAATGAATAAATGAACTGGCGCGGTAATTGGAAGGGAGTGCGATGAGAGAGAAGGAGAGGAGCATGCAGCTCCATTGAGTTTATGGAGGCAGAAATGATGACGTTGGGTAAAGCACTGATGAGGAAGGTATAGCTCAGTGGGGCGAACATGCCTGATAGACTAAGTGTGTGTTTGTGTGTGTGTGTGTGTCACAGAAGGGAGGATTCGACTTCATTATAAGGTGCTTTAAGTGCGACACGCTGTGATTGTGTCATCTTCGTTCCAAACAAAGGCAGTGGAGGGCAGGTACAGGGGACAAAGGAAACGTGAACGTCCAATAGCCGTTGCACAGACGTGCACACACTGCTGAATCCTGTCAGACTGCGCTCAGAGCTGAATTTCAGCTTTTCAGCAGAATGTGTGTAATTGATAGCACTCTGGGGCTGCGCGGGCCTTGGCAGCACGCAAAACGAACGCAAACCTCCAAAGACAGAGACTTTTAATACCTGGCAGGCTCGCACAGCGTGGAAGCTTGACTCTGTGTGGCATGTAGATGTATTGCTGCTCACTTTTGGGTTGTAGTATGGGGGTAAGAAAGAGGGAATCGCTCGTCTCTGCTCCCGTCAAATATTCCAAGGCTTGCACTATTTCCAAGACCTGCTGCGCTTGCGGCCAATATGGCGTCCCAGATGTGTTCACCTGCCGTTGGCAGCCGCCGCCTCCTCCTAATTAAGACAGTCTGGCTCGGCCACCGGCTCAGTCTGGGCCTGCTCGGACCAAACCTTGCCCATCTGCCCTGCTTAAAGAAGAAAAATACCACCTTTACACTTCAGGCCAATTGACATCTATACTCAGGTGGGACGTAGAGGGCGTTAGTTGCTGTAGGCAGGGTGAGTCGTGTGTGCTTGTGTGTGGTGGAACAATAAAGTGAGCGGTTGCGCTAAATGCATGCGATGCATCTGATCTGATCCCCCCTCCCCCCTCCATCTATCTGTCCTTTTTTTGCACTGCATCAGAGCAAAATGTGATCCGTTAACAAGCTTGTGCCACATTTTTAGACTCTGCGTCACATCTCCGCGCAAGCCCATAAGCTTGGAAAAAGATCAGGCGAGACATGGAGATCAAACCCATGGATCGGGCCAACAGACAACTGTACTGCACAACGCCGGCATTAAATATTGACTAAACGAATCGCGAGTCGGGGGAGTAAGAGAACACGACAAGGAGCATAACCAATTCAGGGCTCTGACTTTTTCCCTCCTTCATCTGAGAGAAAAGGTTTCTTGTCTCTGTAATGGAAAATGACGTCCCCAGGGTCAGTCGTCCTCCGAGTGCTTAACGCGAACATGCAGCACCCTCGGCATGCTGGGGAAAAAACAGTGCAGATAGTGCCTGAGAAGGAATGGAGAGACAGAGAGAGAATGTTTGGGGTTTGAGAGAGAAAGAGAAGCAGTGGGAGAAAACAGAATGCTGATGGAGTGGACAGGAATATTGCACAAAGCACAACAACAACAGAAGGGCTAGTTGTCACACTTTCAGTAACTATGGAGTGAGAGGTCCAATTATGCATGTGTGTTTTCTGTAGCAGTGGATTTTATGTTCTTTTCAAGGGAAGTTGTCACATTTCAAATTTATAAAACATAATTGTATTTTATCAAGTTAATGTTTGTATAAATGTATGTGATTCATTTATTATATATATATATATATATATATATATATATATATATATATATATATAATGTTTAAGTGTTTTTGTAGTCAAGACTTTTGAAGTATATCTCTTTATATAAAATAATTTGATAAATATAAAATTCTGATAAATAAAGCATGACTACAGCTGCAGGCTGCCTATATCATGAAATGCACTGAAATGAAATGTGCAGAATAATGTTTAGCTTAAATGTAAGTTGCTTACGATATTAAAGGTGTGCAATGCATTTTCTTTAAAGTTTTTCTTTGTGTAAACAATACTTGAGCACTCATCATGGTGAAACACCGCCAAAAGCGCACGCCATCTCCGCTGACATCTGATCTGTTACCCAACTAACTCAAGAGACTACCTGTGGTAAGATAAGTGATGAGTTATTAAAAAAAAAATCAAAATATATCATGCATAAATTTATATATATTATTTATATATTTATTATGTATATATTATTTACAATTTATATGAATAAACAGTTAGATAACTGGCTATAATGTGATAGTGAGTTTAGCCATCTTCATGAGGAGGGGGAGCTAGATGTAAGTAGTTAATATTTTAGTTAATATTAATTACAAACATGTTTAAAAGTTTGTGTGATGGTCAAATCAGCTAAGGCTTCAAAATTATTTTCTTTATCAGCCATTTTTCTTGAACCCTCTACTTACTTATGATACTGACTTGGAATAGACTTCAGCATTTGATTAGGCTTGAGATTATTTTATCGCTTCTCTGTTGAAAAAGATGTGCAAATGTTTTTTTTTTTTTTGTTTTGTTTTTATTACAATCCTTGCAGAGAAATAAAGGGATAATAAAAATATCACATTTTCTTATATATTTTTTCCCTTATTAAGTAGCAGTACAGATATTTACATTATCTGTTTATACCAAGACTAAATAACTGAAATTATGTACATTATCCTGTTTAATACTTGTTCATAATATTGTGCTAAACCATGGTATTGTGGCAGAAATCTTTTTTTTTTTTTTTTTACATTATTCATCTCAGTGTTCGTACAATCTTTTGAGAGTGACATTCTAGCACTTTTCAAGGGCTTTAAAGCGCTTCACACTTTTTTCAGAACTTCAAACCTCTAAATATTGTCTTTTTTTAAAAAAGTTATCCATTTTTTTATAATGCGATGATTTGTGAAATTAAAACATTAAAGATGTAAGACAACTAACTTAGTGGCAAACAAACACTTGAAGGAAAAAAAACTAGCCATTTCCACTCCTTAATATTTTTGGGGAAGGTAGGAAATCACAAACTAAACTAAACCTTTTCTTTAAATTGTGACTGAATTACACAAAGCAAGTAAAGAGCCTTTCATAATCATCACTGAAGCTGTTGGTCATTTCAGTATTATACTATTAAAGAAAAATGGTTAATATCAATAATAGTTGAATATTTGAATTCTCTAAAAAAAAATGGATCTTGCAAGTTACTGTTATTAAAATAAATTCTTCAGGGCAGTTAAAAAACATTTTTAATGGTTGATCTAATTTTTCTATAAATCTATCTAAGCATCTTGTAGATTCATTTTACAGAAGGAGAGGTATGTACATTTATGAGCAAAACTGCATATATTACTAAATGATATATACAATGTTATATAATATATACAAAA